CTGCTGCTGCTGCTGCTGCTGCTGCTGCTGCTGCTGCTGCTGTTGTTGTTGTTGCTGCTTGAGGCGGAAGAAGAGGAAGTCAGGCTGCTGCTTGCAGCTGCAGCACCCTCTTGCTGCTTCTGCTGCTGCTGCTGCTGCTCTTTCTTCCCCGTCTCCTGCTGCTGCTGCTGCTGCAGCAGCAGCAGCAGCAGGAGGAGGAGGAGGAGGAGTAACAGCAGCAGCAGGAGGAGGAGAGCTGCAGCAGCAGCAGCAGCAGCTGCTGCTGCTGCTGCTGCACACAGCTTATAAATGCAACGCATGCTGCAGAAGGAACTGCAGCAAGAGCAGCAGCAACTGCAGCAGCAGCTGCTGCTGCTGCAGCTGCTGCTGCAGCTCTACCAGCAGCATCAGCCACGAGAGACAGAAACCCTAAACCTAAACCCTAAACCCTAAACCCTAAACCCTAAACCCTAGACTTGCCTTTTGAACATAGTAGTATTCGCCCATCTGCGGCTGAGCTCTAAACGTGCTTCCTCTGGTGTGCAGGACCCCAGTGTATCTCCTGCTGCTGCTGCTGCTGCTGCTGCTGCTGCTGCTGCTGGTGCTGCTGCTGCTGCTGCTGGTGCTGGTGCTGGTGCTGGTGCTGGTCTAGGTGGAGGTGGAGGTGCGCGTGCAGTTGCTGCTGCTGCTGCTGTTGCTGCTGCTGCTGCTGCTACTGCTGCTGCTGCTGCCTGGCATGCAGCAGCAACCTGAGCCCCAGCAGCTTGTGCTGCTGGCCCTGCTGCGCTGTTGATACGGGAGAAGTGAGAGTTGCTGCTCATGTGGTTGCTGCTGCTGCTGCTGCTGCTGCTGTTGCTGCTGTTGCTGCTGTTGCTGTTGCTGCTGCTGCTTCTGTTGTTGTTGATGCAGTCGTTGCTGCTGCTGTTGCTGCTGCTGCTGCTGCTGCTCCTGAACCAGGCCCTTCTACCTGCAGCAAGGCTGCTGTCTCGTGGCGGCTGCACATTCCCCATCGTTGATGGCGATCTGCTGCTGCAGTTGCTGCTGCTGCTAGTGTTGCTGCTGCAGTTGCTGCTGGAGCTGCTGCTCCTGCTGCAGCAGCTGGTGCTGCTGTGTAAGCGTCCCCTGCTGCTTCTAGAGTTGTACACACGGCCAGCAAGTGCTGCTGCGAAGCTTGCTGCTGCTGCTGCTGCTGCTGCTGCTGCTGCTGGCTCTGCCCGGTCTGCTTGGGCTGTTGCTGTTGCGTCAGCTGCTGCTGCTGCTGCTGTTGCTGCTGCTGCTGATGTTGCTGCTGCTGCTGTTGGCTTGTGTGTCTAGTGTTGTTGCATGTGTTTATGTATGTCTCACTGTTTTTTCTTGTATGTCTGCATGCGCTGCAGTTTCTGCTCGATTGCTGCTGCTGCTGCTGCTGCTGCTGCTGCTGCTGCTGCTGCTGCTGCTTTGGCTCTGCTTTCCCCAGGATAAATCTGGGTGCGAGGAGCTGCGTCTTCTTCT